GGAGAAACCGGCCTCGGTGCTGAGCATCTCGTCTTCAAGTGTAGGGCGGCTGACTGGGGCGCGGGAGAGGGCATCCGGGATGCACAACTCCTTACCTGCGCGCCAAGCCGCGGTGAAGACGAAGGCCAAAATCTTCTCCTTCAGGCGCTGGAGGCGGGGATTCTCGATGGCGTCCAGCGAATAGTGGTTAAGAATGGGGACCAAGGGCCTGTGGTCTGTGATGAGGTCGAAGTGCTGTAGGCCAATCAAGTAAAACTTGCACTTCGATAAGGCCCATACCACTGCCAGCAGCTCCAGCTCGATGGTAGCGTAGCGAGACTCAGCATCGGTGAGGAAGCGAGAGCCACACTGTATGAGCCGGTACTTTCCTCCACCGTGATCCTGGAGAAGGGCGTAACCAACCCCGTACAGCCGCGAGGCGTCTGTCTGGAGGACGGTGGGGAGCGCTGGGTCGAAAGTAGCGAGGATAGGTGGACTTGACAGGGCCTCCTTCTCCTTATGAAAGGCGAGGTCGTGGTCAGGGGTCCACGTGAAAGTCCTCTTGGGGCTTATCAGGGGGCGGAGAGGCCCGGCAGCGGCGGAGACGTCAGGAGAAAATTCTGCCAGCTGGTTCACCAAGCCCATGAAAGACCTGAGATCCGTAAGGTTGGCAGGTTTTGCAAAGTCCGCTATGGCGCGAACTTTCTCCGGGTCTGCAGCAATGCCATCCCTTGAGAGTCGGTAGCCGCAGAAGGACACTGCAGGTGCGGCCAAGACGAACTTCTCGGCATTCAGAGTGATGCCGTGCGTCCTACACCTGGTCAGTACCTCGTCGATGCGGCGAAGATGCGTCAGGTAGTCCTAATCGTAGAGGAGGACGTCATTCACTACCTTCACGCAGATGGTCACGCCTTGAAGTGCCATGTCACCACGGAGACAGAAGGCGTCCCCCATAGCAGCGAATCCCATAGGGCCACGGCAGTAGCGGAATCTTCCGTAAGGCGTGATGAAAGTGGTCAGTGGCTGATCCTCCTTCTTCAGTGGGATCTGCCAGTAACCACAGAGGGCGTCCATCGTCGAGAAGTGCCGTACCTTCGGATTCACACTCCGTATAGCTGCAAAAGGTGTGGGTGAAGGGTGGGCGGGACGGGACACCTGGCTGTTAAGCTTAGACAAGTCGGTAGTAATCCGCACTCCACCGTTAGTCTTAGCCACAGCGACTAGAGGGTGGCACCAAGGGGATGGGTCGTCACCAACGGGTACGATGACACCCTGGGCCACCATGGAATCCAGTTCCTTCTTGACTGAATCCCTGAAGGCGAGAGGAATCAACCGGGGAGTGTGTATGACAAACGGCTGTGCATCTTCCCGCAGGTGTATCCTCATAGGCGGACCCGCCATAGCCTTCAGTGGCGCGGTCCGTAAGGCCTCCCTCGTCACCAGCACATCCGAGTACCCCTTCAGGAAGTAGGCCCTTGCGGCTGAAGGAGACGTCTCGCTGTGAAGAGGAAGCAGCCGTGACTTGGGTGGAGGCGGGGCGGGAGTGGACGCGGGTTCTGGGCAGCTCTGTGCGGCAGCGCCAGGCGCGTCGCTCATTGATTCCCGCACCCTGCTGGCGGTGTACCAAGCAGCTGGGATCTGCTCAGGAAAGTCTCTGGGCACCACGCCTAACTCCTTGCAGTGCTCCCACGACAACAAGGGTGTAGTGAGAGTAGGCTGCACGTCGATCCATCCGTGACATGACCTGTCGCCGTAGGTGATCTCGGCTTGAAAGGAGCCCACAGCGTCTGGCATCTGGGAACCGTCCGCATTGTAGTACTGCAGCTGCGGCGGTGGTCCCAGGCCGCGTTTGGTGAGGCCCAGTTTCTGGAGGTGCTTCAACCCAATCACCGTAGTATCAGCGCCAGTGTCCAGTATCACCTCGATGTGACCCGACACATCACCGTGTGTGACGGCGACGCGGATGGTGGGGGAAGGGGTAGCCCTGGGGCGTGTGGTCGAGTCCACCCTTCTGATGTGACTCAGCTGCTGCTTGGGGCTGCGTGGGCCATCTGGAGGGGGCTGCGTGCGAACCACCCCGAGGGAAGTGCGCTGCTTTCCTCCTCGTCTCGGGCTTTTGGGCTTGGGTTGGCGGCAGCACTTGTCGTAGTGTCCATAGCGACCGCAGGCCTGACACTTGCGGCCTCGTGCAGGGCACCTGTCTGTGTTAGACCAGTGGCCCTTACGGTCACATCCACGACACAGTGCGTCGGCGGCCGGGCAAGTCTTGGGGCTGTGCTGCTTTCCACAGCTGCCACAGGAAGCACTAGGCGGAGGCGTGGAAGAACGTGTGGCAGCCTTCGCGTTGTTGGCCGCCTTCTTACCCTTCTTGTACTGAGAGATTGCTCTCACAGCAGGAGGGGCCCGTAAGGCAGAGGTGGCGGACTTGGTGGCCTCGTATGACCGACATTCAGTCACTACCACCTGGAGTGTGGAGGAAGCGTCCAGGGGGATGAGTCGCTGCACCAACTCTTCCTGCCTGACACCTGTCAAGATCCCGTGCTTGATCCAGGCTTCCTCACATTCCCGGCTGTGCACCTTGCAGACGTCGATCTCCTCTGACAAACTCTTCAGCGTACAAAAAAGTCGTCAAAGGATTCGTTCTCCGCCTGCTTGCAGCTGGTGAAGGCACGGCGACGCAAAGCCTCGTTGTTCCGACCCTTAACTTGCTCCTGTAAAAGGTCGAGCACATCCCTCACTGAAGAGGTAGAGTCGGGAGGCACTTGCAACGTGTGCTCCAAAACTCTCTGGGTCTCCAGCGACAAACACATCCGCAGTTGGATGAGCTGTTTGTTCGGAGGCATGCTGTCAAGGTCCACCATCGTGGAGTAATCTGTCCAGCGCCGCCTCCACTCACGAAAAAGCTGAAACGTGACGTCTGGTGAGAGGGCGGGTGGGGGTTGAACAGATGCCTTGGGAGCTGTTTGTTTGGAGGCAAGAGTACCTGGAGGACACTGGTGTGGTGGAGGAGGGAGTGTACTGGCGCCTTGATGCGCGCTACCTGCGAGTGAGGGAGGGTGGGTTAGCGCCAGGGTCGCCAATAGTGCCTCAAAACGCAACTTTTCCTCCTCTCTTCGTGTCTCCTCCCTCTGAAGTTCCATCTCTCTGCGTCTCTCGTCCCGGTCGTCCATCCACCTCAGAATTGTGGCAATGTCCGTCACTGGAGGTGGAGGATGGGAGTCTGCGCCCGATGGAGGAGAAGGTGGTGGGGAGTCGTGTCTCCCATCTTGACGTTGTCCGTTCTTACCTCCCATCTTAGTGTGTGCGTGGACTGCACTGTTTAGTATATAAAGTGGCGCCTCAACAGCTCGAACCACATATATATGACATAAACAGCGCAGAAATAACGCATATAGTCCACTGTTCTGTCCGTGAGTGAGTGCGTGCGTGCGTGCGTGTGTGTGTGTCTGAGAGATCGCTTCGTGGTGGCCTTAATGCCCGTGGCTGGAGACGCGGCGGGAGTGAGACCGTCAGTATCACCCGGGATGTCACACAAGAAGAGTGTACGCCTGCGTGCTCCGTGGGTACCACAAAAAACAGGCCAATGCTCAACTCTCAGCTCTAGACACACACTAATACACTGACACTAACACTGCCACCGTCACTAAAACGCACTGTGACGGAGCAGCACTGCACATCGCGGCGAAACACAGCGCAACACAACACAACACACTATGAGTCGACGCCCATCACCGGCAGACGTAACTGTCTCGGCATAGTTCACACACTTTGTAAGTCCACAGATCCTAGCCACTGCGCCATGGTGGTTACTGGTGTTCCCTGAGGAATGCAGTGTTGGGTAGGGAAACACTGGGTAACACTGAGTCCGTTTATTATGGATGAGAGAAATACAAGTGGTGACTCGCGTGTGCCATGCACGGCTCACACAGTCAGACTGAGGCTGCCTTGCCATATGGCAGCCTCGGGGCAATGGTGCCACATAACGTGCAGTGTTGCCACGTGATGATACATATAATTGCTACTCGGTACAGTAGCTTACATACAGGGTTGCTACTCGGCACAGTAGCTTATATACAGGGTTGCTACTCGGCACAGTAGCTTATATACATAACCTACAAAAATATTCGTTAAGAAGATGATACTGCTCGCATCACTGATTGTGAGGAGGCATTAAAAAAACTCGTTAACAGATAAGTGGAAAATGTGAAGGAAAAAATATGGATTACGAGTTAATGCTGTAAAGACTAAAATAATAGTTGTTTCCAAATTGGAAATAAATCCAAAAATAAAAATTATTGTAGGCAACAAGGAGCTTAAACGAGTGGAAAATTTTGTGTATATGGGAAGTAACATTAACTGTGATAGCAAATATAAGGAAGAAATCAAAACGAGAATAGGACAAGCAAAAAACACCGAAAGTAATCCAAAAGATGTAATGAAAAAGAACATTAACTTCAAATTGAAAAGAAGGCAGCTGAAAGGCTTTATGAATCAAAAGCGTGGACATTTTCAGCAGACACCAGAAATGTTGGAGGCTTTTGAAATGTGGTGTTATGTGTGGATGTTATGAATATACTACACTGACAGAAAATCAAATGAGGAAATACTAAGATTAGAAAAATTCAAGACAAACACTTGAAATGGACTGAGAAAGAAACATTAGATACGTTGGTCATACAATTAGGGATGAGAGGATGATAGAAATTTTATTGGGCAAAGTTGAGGGTAGGGGGGACAGGGAAGGCAGAGACTGGGTCCCCAGAGAGATACGAAACTATATAGGATTAGTAAAAACAACCCGAGAACATTTTTAGTGGAGGACTGTAGTAGCCTACCCTCAGATACTCGTATGAGGACGGTACTCTGATAACAACACAAGGGTTTCATATTTCACGCAACCCACATTAATATTTTTTAGGAATATTACGTGAATAATCTCTAGCATTTGATAGTTCTAAACATCTGTGATATTACTAAGCAAAGGAATAATGCAGAGAGACAACACCAAGAAAACAACTTACCATTAACACGGGACTGGGTGTCTCAACAGAAGGTCCGGGACGTGGTAACTTCCTCAGCCACCACTCTATATTTTCATGACCTGCAAATCTTGCAGAATCCAGTGGTGTGTATCCTAATCTGTTCTTGGTGTCAGGGTTGAGGCCAGCTTGTACCAGGATCTGCATCGCCCCCACATGTCCGTTTATTGCTGCACAATCAAGTGCTGTTGATTGCGACTTACCCCTTGCATGACGGTCACAGCCGGTTTGGTTGAGTAACTGCTTCAAAGCACCTAAAGAATTACCAGTCGCAGCAACTTGTAATGGTGTACTATCCCAGTTATCCTTAGAGTTAATATTTGCGTTGGCTTTCAGGAGCATCTCCACGCATTGCTCTCTGTCTTCACCTGCGGCTAGATGTAGGGCAGTTTGACCTGTGCCAGAACCAACCAAATTTTATACTGAATTTTCATATTAATGACACAACGTAGATTTAAGGAATTGTTATTGTCAACAAGATTTGCATCTGCATATACACACTTTCACATCAACGTATATTCACAAACCACACACACACACTACTACTACTACTACTACTTTGCTGTCACTCGGAATCGAGTATGACGATTATCCAGCTATGATACAATGATATGAGTTATTAAGGATGTCACCGTCGTTGGTGAGCTCTGAGGTGACTCGAGAGGCCGATATGGGACCGGCAGGGTCATCCACAGTTGTTGCACATGTGGAGGGCTACATCTAGTGCGGGAGGGGCGGCGGCAGCGTCTTTCCGGCGTTGGCGCTTGTTTGCCTCGGTATACAGTCGGGTGAACTCGAAACTATTGACACCTTCTCGTGTGGTGCTTCTCCAAGCGTTACGGTGTGGAGTAATCGTCTCCAGGATAAGGGGGTCGATTAAGCACTTTGTCAGGTTTGTCTTAAGACTATCCTTATACCTTTTCAGTTGACCGCCAGCATTACCTTTACCATTCGTTAGCTACTTTGGTTGTCTACTGTCGTCCAACGTAGTTGTTCATGAATAATGGTAGCCTCGATGCTCTTACAGTTGGTGTCAGCGAGAATACTGGCATTTGCTGTCTTGTCTTCCCAGCGAACTCTGAGGATGGAAAGTAGACTTCGTTGGTGAAAGTTTTGAAGTACCTTAAGGCGCTTTGTATGTAACCCATGTCTCGCTGCCATATAGCAAGGTGAAGAGGACCACTACTTGATATACGTGCAACTTTGTAGATAATTTCAGCTCCCTACAGCTGAAGATACGGGTGCGGAGTCTGCCAAAGACTTGAAATGCACATCTGATCAGATGTTGAATCTCTTCTTTGATGTGCGCGGTAGCAGACTGGTGGGAGCCGAGATACTGAAAGTGGGTAACATTAGAGAGGGTAGTACCATTGAGCTGGATAGACTGTGGAGGTGTGGCTGAACCAGGGGCATAGGTGTTGTACATAGGTGTTCAGGATTCCTTGAAGGTCGCATTGAGTGTGAGCGCCGAGGGTTAGGTTGCCTGCATCCTGAAGTTCAGTAATGGAAGCTGCTGACACTTTTGTTCCTGAACGGAGTACTTCCGTCTTGTGTGCTAAATAGGCCCATATTTAATGCCCAGTGCCTGTTGTGTGAGAAATGGGCCCAAATTTCAGACGCAATACCTCTCGTGTGTTAAATAGGCTCGTGTTAAACACACCGGGTGAAGCCCAAGACCTGTTGTTTGCCCATAAATAGAAAAGAAAGTTGCGAACAATGAAAAACAACAAGCTCCCCGATTTAATACAATTAGACCTTGACGTACAGGGTCTCACCAGCGACACCCCAAACAACGGCCCCATCACTATCTGGATGACAAGCCAGGTCAATTGGTGTTTAAGAAAGAACCAGTAGACAGTGCTGGCACCTACCCAGATGACACCTGTCCAGAGCACACCCAACCTTCAGAGCTCGTGTTCAAATTTGTTGACCGTTAAGACTGTCAGCCTTGTTCTTCACGTTGGGTTCGCTCTGGCTGCTTTATCTTGTAGTTGTACATGGATATTATTATTCTTGTACACTGCGCTTCTTCCCTATCCTATCCTTTTGTCTAGAGTCCCTGCTGTTTGGTAACGAAGTGAACCCTGCTGGCAGAGCCACAAGAGGGACCCACAGAGGGCTGCTGAGTCGAAAAAGTAAGGGTGGCAACATTTTCTTTTAGGGATTCGGCAGTGCTTCATAACCTGTCACTATTAAGTGTTAGGACTTTGCTCGACCCCCACCAGGGGATTGTCTGTTCACCCTACCCCTAGACCTGAATTTACTCGCCCACTAAGTGGACAGAAGGAGAGGCATCCATGGGGTTTAGCTGACGTGGACAGATTAGGTAGGATTTTGATATATGTAACTGACCGTGGCCAAGTGAGAGTGCAGACCTCCCGACCCAAAGACCCAAAGGTTTCGGATGAAGCTAAAAAGACTATTAAGTGATCTAAGGGTGAGAATTAATAGACTCAAGCATCTGAGAGATGGTTGCATCATCCTCACAGAGACAGATGAATATGCTGAAAAGCAACTTAATAATGGAAGCCCATCGAAATCGAGGATGGCCGGCCCAAGGGCCTCCTAGGCGTGAATTTGTTAAGGTGTAGAAGCTGTCGCCAACACAACAACCACACCCCAAGTTACGAGCTGCATGACCCAGTGTCAAGGAATAGTCCGAGAAGACCGGACAACTCACCAACTGCACTGGCTAACCATTACCTCGGAATACGATCCGCAAATCGATTAACATCCAAGTTCCAAATTACTGCTGGATAGACAGAGGCAAATGGCGTAAAGAAACTTGCCCATAGTTTCACCCTACCCGAGGAACGAACTCGGGTTCGCTCGCTTGCGAGGCGAGGATGCTGACCATTACAGTACACCACAGGTCGCCACGATAAGCTACTTAAGTCTAGTGCCATGGACAAAATGAAAACCAACGGATACGAGGTCATTCTCTCACGGGAATACGGCGCCAAGCTCATCCTTGTATGTAAGAAGTTAGACAACGATGTAGTGGAAAATAACGCGGAAGAAATAAGAGATGAAATAGAAAGACAAAACAATGTCAAGGTTGTAGAGGTTTATCCTATGTATGCCCATAATATAATCAAGGTTCGCTTTGCATACACAAAGGGAGGCAAAATGAATGAAGGAGAAGGGACTCTATGCATATGGCACTTCCATCTCAACCCACCAAATAGAATATGAAAAGTATACGTCCATCCAACAATGTGTGAAGTGCTATAAATACAATGACCACATGACCAAGAACTGCCCCATGCAAGATATGCTCTGAGTATTCATCTGATCAACACTTCTACAAAGACTGCCGTAGCAACATCAATAAGTGTGTCGTCTGAGAGGGTGCCCACAGGACCTTCTCTGCCATTTGCCTGGTCAGGAAACAAGTAACTTAAGAAACTGACCGAAATAACCAAGCAAAAAGAAACCAGGGAAATTTCTAACACCATAAAAAGGACCACTCAGTCGACGTTCTTGGCTTATAGCCAAACCCTAAAAGGTGCCCTGAAAGAAACTCAAGCAGACTCACAAAAACTCAACAATGTCAGCGAGACCATGGAAGTCCTGCAATCGAAGATACAAACTTTCAAGTACTCAATAAAGCAGGCAGTTACTGAGTCACTGGGCGCCATGAGGGGCGCAGTGGCGGAGAACATCAGGAGCGTCTCCTCTTCACAGTTGGACGAGTCCAAAGCCACCGCTATATATTTTTCTTACCTGCATGCCCATCACATAAACAAGGTTCTTCCCGGTTCATTCTAGAAACACCTCAATGAGACACTAACCAGGAACAACATTGCACCTGTTGAAATAAGCGACAAAGTCCCTTCAAAAGAAATCCTGAAAACAGTAACCCAATCAACGAACTCACGACGACCTCAACCCACGCCAGAAATAGACCATGACCTCCCTGAATTAGGCCAAAGTCAGTATAACCGTAGCCCCGACGTGGCCAGTCAATCCCCCCGAGATCACAGCTCCTCCAGCAACACCATAAATCTCCGTGCCCCCAAGACATATACTTATAACGTTTGTTTCTTAGGTAACAGTAGTATAATACAGTAATGGGGAAAACATTATATCTCTACCTTTACCAACTGTGTATCTGTTGAGGTGACTGTTAGTGTGTATAACAGTTACTTGTGAAACTGTCATATGTGTAATAACCTTCCTGGATTGTCACCACTTGTAACTCACTTGAGAAGCATGTTACCTTATATTTTAGTCATACTAAAATATAGATCGAAGTTTATTGGATCTTCTGTAGTGAAATCCAATGTGTTCCTTTTCTGTGTTTATTATAAAAGGTTTCTACGTACACTTTTAAAAAGGAGTATCACCGTAACTTAATACCTGTAGCTATGAGTGTTAAATGAGGACGGAGGCTATGTTAAACAGCTCTTCTAAAATACGTCCTGTTGGGGTAAGGGGTTGAGTGAGAGTGCCTGTAATACCCGTCGAGGGAGAACGGAAATACATCCGACGTCCTCCCTCGAGGGAAGACTGAACCATCCACGATGGCTCTCAATAACGTCTTCCTCTAGTCAAGGATATCAAACTACTCCCGCAAGAGGTGGCCAGAGAGCCAGCTACTTAATGTCTTAGCTCAGCACTAAGAGACGCGATTTCCCGTGGGCATACCTTATCACATGCTCTGAACATGCTACCTCATAGCTAGCGGGAAGTTACTGAGGGTGATAGAGTATATAAGTCTAATGTAATTAACCCATTTATATAAGTACTTCTGCCTATAAGACAGGGGCTATTACATACTCCCAGCGACGACAATGACCATCGGACTGCAACCTCAGTTAATGGTTGCGACCAGATGGTGGCGACTTACCCACACAGGAACAAGACCCTCGAGCTGCAGCGTCAATAGATGACTTCGACACGCAGGCCCAGGACCTGAACATCATCCTGTACACGGGTGACGAGAAGTTCGAGGGCCCGCCATTAACTGAGACGCAGATGTTCGAAGGTTCTGCAAAGAAGTTCCGGCCCCCTAGATATGACAGAAGCCGAGAAAACACTTCAAGCGACGCCCCAAGCTACAGTCTCCGAAATGGCAGTCGTTAGCAGGATGAAAATTGTCCAACATAATGTCCTACACTGGTCCCTTAATAGACGTAACGAACTGTCTAACTTATACCATCAATTAGACCCAGACATTATTCTGTTAAACAGTACGGGCATAAAGGACGAAAGTAAGCAGAAATTTTGTGGCTACGCTATATACCAGAGGAACATGACGGGTGAGCTGAACGATGGTGTCGCTGTGGCCATCAGGACACGGCTGAGTCACAGTGTTGCCAGACTTCGAGGATTCAGTTCTAGAAGTGCGGTTGGAGACAACAAGGAGACCTGTTATCTTATGCACAATGTA